GCTAGTTGAAACAAAAGAGACGCCCTCAAATAGTCCTAGGAAGTCGTATGCTGAGACCGTCTTGAAAGACGGAGCGGACAATGGGGCTAAGGTCACACCTCTGGTGAATAGAAGGTCTCTAGAGATTAAGGATTTGGATGAAACCACCACAGAGGATGAGGTGACTTCAGCACTGAGAGAAAAGCTGGGTAAACCCGACCTGAAGGACAAGGAAAAGTTCGGCCGGTCCCTAAGAGAAGCCCTTTTAATTGAGGACTTGGGCTGGGTGAAGAGGCCGAGCAGTCTGGATGGGGAGGTTCGAGCGGTGAGGAATATGATAGTCACCGCTTGCAATGCGTCTATGCCACGCAAAGACGCCATTCCCGTAAGAAAATCCTTGCACTGGTGGTCAGAGGAGCTAGCCTCCTTGAGAAAGGAATGCCTCAAAGCAAGAAGGACATATACCCGATCTAAGGGAGATCTCTTGCTGAAAGAGGCTTTCAAGGAGGCGAAAAAGGACCTCAAGAAAGAGATCCGCAGGTCGCGACGCCGTAGCTGGGAGAACCTAATCGAGGAAGTCGATAAGGACCCATGGGGTCTGGCTTTTAAAATCGTTACTAAGAAATTAGTGACGAGGCAAAAGACCCCCGGCCTGGACAATCCCGATTGGGTCAGAAAGATAATAAGTTCTTTATTTCCTCCTGCAGAGCTATACCTTAGAAGGGACTGGAGTTTTTGCAAAGTGGAAGAGGAAGAACCCTTCACACTTAGTGAACTACAAAAAGTAGGCAAAAGATTGAAAACAGGCAAGGCACCTGGAATCGATGGGATAAGTAACGAGATCCTAAAGTTGGTTATCGACACTTCACCCCAGATTCTGCTTCGATGCTTCAATCTTTGCCTTGAGAGATGAGAGTTCTTCCGCGACTGGAAGCGACAGAGGTTAGTCCTCCTGAGGAAAGGTGAAAAACCTCTAGATAAAGTCTCATCATACAGGCCTATATGCCTGCTAGATACGATGGGTAAACTTCTAGAGGATATGGTTCTGCAGAGAATGCAAAGCCACTTGACCGGAGAGAATAATCTATCGAATCACCAATTTGGTTTCCGTAAAGGCAAATCCACAGTTGATGCCATCCAGGCAGTTGTGGACATAGCCAAAGCAGGAAAAAACAAATTGGGACCTGGAAAAAAGAAGAGCTTCTGCGCTTTGTTAGCAATTGACATACGCAACGCGTTTAATTCCGCAAGATGGAAGGATCTCATCGAGTCGATGAAAAAGAAAGACATGCCGCCCTACTTGTTGCGGATGGACAGGTGGGTTATATATGAGGGAGACACCTGCACACTTAGGAAAGAGATGTAGCGTGGGGCTCCTCAGGGCTCGAGGGTGGGTCCATTTGTATGGAATGTATCTTACGATGATTTCCTGCAAATGGATCTGCCCGAAGGGGCGGTGATCATCGGCTTTGCGGACGACGCGTTGTTCGTGTGCACTGCCGAAAGTGAGGAGGCTCTTGGGACATTGGTGAACGAATTTCTGCGACTAGCAAAAAGCTGGCTGGATACCAGAGGTCTTGAAATGGCCCTGGAACAGACCGAGGCACTGTTGGTCACAGACAGACGTGGTTATGAGCTCCTACGAATCGTGATAGACGGATTCGAGGTCAAGTGGAGTAAGCAAATTAAATATCTTGGTGTGGAGTTGGATGGAAGGTTAAACTTCCACCACCACATGGCTACGGCGTCAAATAAGGCGATCGAGTGTGCGGCTAATCTTTCACGGTTAATGCCAAACGTAGGCGGACCCCGTGAGCAAAAAAGAAGACTGGTGGCGAGTGTCGCCCATGCTAAAATGCTCTATGCAGCACCAGCTTGGGCCCCATCCCTGAGGAGTAAAAGATGTGTTACCATCTGTGAAAAGATACTGTCAGCGCAGAGATCGATAACTACGCGTATCATCTCTGCATATAAGACGGTATCTACGTGTGCTGTGCAGGTCCTTGCAAGTGTCCCGCCAGCAGATCTTTTGGCGAGAGAAAGGAAAGAAATGTTTCTCTTTTCTAAAGAAAGAAGTTCCTTAGATGAAGAAATAAGACCAAGCAAGGGCCTGATCCGCAAAGAAGTGAGGCACAGGCTCATAGAAAGATGGCAAGAAAGATGGGATGGTGAGGAAAAAGGTCGATGGACTTATCGCCTTATTCCGACACTCGCCACCTGGATAAATAGGAAACACGGTCAGGTTTCCTATTATTTGACTCAGGCGCTCACAGGTCACGGATGTTTTAACTCGTACCTGTGTCGCTTTAAATTACGCGAGGACGAGGTGTGTGCATATTGCCAGTTCCCTGCGGACAACGCGGAGCACACCCGTTATGTCGAGGAAGGATCTCGACGGCCGCCAAAAAGCGTAATTTAAACAGCTTTTAATTTGTTTTTTTTTGTTTTTTTTTTGTTTTTTTTTTATTAATTTATTTTGCGATTTATTTGTCCTTCTACATTTTTTAATTTGTTTTGGTTTTTTATTTGTTTTTGTACAGTTTTGTCTTTTCAACGTTATATACGTGTTTACTTTTTTTCTTTTCTTTTTTATATCCGTTTGCGACTTTATCTTTTGACTTTTAACACTTCTTAAATAATTTTGTTTTTTTTATTATTGTTGTGCTGTAAATTCGGCTTAGACTATGAAATAGTTTTAATCATTTTTTTAACTACGGGCGCAGGAAAACCGCAGAGAGAAGAAGAAGGTCGCATTAGCGACAGAGTTGGAGCGCCACCCTCGAAGGCTTAAGTCTTACGACAGTTCCGAGAGAGGGTAAAGAGCTCCAGAAGAAGGGTTACGGGTTTTAGTGGGTCGGGCTGGTAGTAGGTCAACAGTTTATTAAATTTATTATAACATTTATTTATTTATCTTTTTTTTTAATATTTCCTTTTGTTTCATTTTACCAACCCCACATAACCTTGGAGTGCGGAATCCAAGGTATCTGTAGGCAGATTTCCCAAAAGTCCCTAAGCAAAAAAAAAAATAAATAAAAAATAATAATAATAATTATATATATAAAAACACATAAAGTAGAATCAAAAGCACATTTTACAGGATCGTAAATTTCTTGTGAATAAGAAAAAAGTCATGAAAGCGTAAATGTATTGGGAGAAATAGATTTTTTTGGTCGCGTGCAATCTGTGTCCTGACAGGGTTTCCGATAAAGGTTGAAGAACGCCAATGGTCTGGATATTTCCGGAACATACGTATTCCACTTAAAAATTTATCGTCGTGCCTTTATTGAAACTTAGAAAAGAGAATCACGTACGTTTCTATACCCATTACCTAAAGGCATTAATCGTACCTCGACAACAACGCCATAATTCTACAATCTTTTAATCATCTTGTCAACCGAGAACCTTTTTCTGACAAATAAAATAATTCCTTTCACTTATATACCAAGGTTGATGATTTGCCAATTATTGGACCAATTTTTATCGCTAATAATAGTCAACACGCTAAAGAAAATTCATCAATTTTAATATTAGACTAATATTGAAGTAAAATTACAAAAAAACTAATTTTTATCAAGGAAGAACAAATTTTTAGCAAATAATACAATTTTAAGAAAAATAGTTTTTAAGAAGATATACAATTTTTTTACAGATCATAATAATAATAAATACCGTATTATTATTGTAACAACACAATTACTTATACATTCAAAAATTGTCAAAAATACACTCAGTGATTATTATATTCAGTCCAATTCATCCCGCTTGTGAGAGAGTTTTCTTGTCATCTGGTAGGAAGATTGATAATTATTTCCGCGGGAAATTCAAATTCGATCAAACAAGAAATTGATACAAACCCCTGGATCTAAGATCTAAACTTTTAAAATGAAATTCGTTTTAACTTCGAAAAATATTCTCACAAACAAACCAAAGGGATTGAAAAACATTTTGTGTAATAAAAATACAAGAAAAATGTTTTACTTAGAACCAAATTTGAATCAAATAAAAATATCTCCCCGAGACTATAAATTTGTTATGTACAAATAAAAATATTATTTGACACAAATAAAAATATTGTTTGACATTAAATAAAATTTTATTTGCTCAAAAAAATTTTATTTTGAATCAAATCAAATTTTATTTGTGCAAAAAAATTTTTATTTGAATCAAATAAAATTTTCTTTATATATTTGAGCAGAAGAAAATTTATTTCGAAAAACAAATAAAATACATATATTTATTTTAGCCTGGAGAAAAATATACTTTTTCTCTGGTTGTGTTATTTTGACAAAGTCAGAAAGATATACAGAAATCTAAATAAAAAAATTTGACAAAAAATAGAATTTCTTTGTTTAATTTGTTACTCTTTATTATCTTCAAAATTGGAGTAGAAGTATTAAACTGTTCTATTCTACTTTTTTTATATATACTACCGAATCGAATTATTTTACATTCTGATCCTTTTTTTTAATATCAAGAGTTGAAAGATTTACTATGTCATGTTATAAAGTTTGACATGTATATAAAATAATCAATTCTTCTATTTTTAATAAATGTTTGAAATATTTGAAAAGTGAAACATTTTTTTTAATTTGAACTCGTTTTGTATCTTGTTATACGATTACAATGAAAAATTCTGGAAAATTTTTTTTATTTGTGATGCCAAATGCTTCTTGTGAAAAAATTAAAAAAATATCAATTTACACACAAATGATGAAAAAATGTGTCTAAATGAAACAATTTTAAATGACAGTTAAATAAAAAAATATTCACCATTTTAAAAAGGTTAAAATTTCAGTCAATTCAAGTGTTTGAAAATATTTATCATTTAAAAATATAAAAATTTCAAACAATTAAAACTTTTTTCAATATTTATAAATTTGAAAATTTCAAACAATTAAAATTTTTAAAAGTATTTATAAATTAAAAAAATTTAATTATAATTTGAAATTATGTTTCACTGGTTTTAAATTTATTCGAATTCCTCTCGATGAAACATATCATTGTAATAATAATATTTTCAGAAAGAGACGAACGACATCTGGCCAAACTGTCGATGTGCACGTTTAGATGGAAACTGACATCGCGTCTCATTTTCAGTCGATACTGCAGAAACGGTTTTATTGAATTTACACGACAGTGGAAAGAGACAGAAAGAGCGAGAGAGATAGATAGATAGAGAGAAAAATAATTCACCACTAAAGTCACTATTCTCGAAATAGAAACGCTTTCAGTTCAAAATCGATTCTCATTCCAATGGATCACTGACACAGCACGAAAGTGCAGAGATCTGGTTTCATCGGTGAGGATTACTTTATCATCTTCTAAAAGCTGACTTGACTAAAAAAAGAAGAAAAATTCTCCCTTTCTGCCGAAGTTGTATACCTACGAGTATACAATTTTAAAATCTGGTTTTATGATATCTACACTCTCTGCAAGATTGAAACGAGTGACAAAATAGTTCGTCAACTAATTTACCATAAAAAAGATATGCAAAGTAAAAACATTCCTGGTTTCAGTTTTCAATGTCTTGACTATATTAATTTTTTATTTTTCAAATAAATGTAAATTGACTTCTTAAGTAAATTGTTTACGTAGGTTTACTAATAAAATAGTAACATTTCATTTGTAATGTAATTTAAATTAATTTAATTTAAAATTTCCTCTAAATTGTTCTTCTATTGTTTTGATTAAACATATGAAAAACAAACACATCCTACGATTTCTCTTTTCGAACAATAACTAAATAAACCCACGACCTTATCAAACAAACGTTTTGTTTAAAAAAAAAATGTAAATGTGATAAATATTTTCGAAAAAAAGAAATTTTTTAAAAATTAATTTCCTACTCAGCAATTTTGTTTCTTTTCAAACTGGAAAAACAATTATTTGATATTTCATTTTCTTTTCGATAGATTTAAAATTGAAATTCGTTAAAAGCATATATAAGAATATTTTATGGACGAAAGTTTTTATTTGTTTTAGGAAAATATATTTACGTTTTACAATAATTGCAATATGGAAAGAAATTTGTTGTTGATTTAAGAAAGTTTTGTTAAAAATTGAGATCGAATGGGTATTTGTGAAAATTTATGTTCGACTTGGCGACGACAAATGTATATATACACCAATGTGGAAAACTGATCATAGAATCTGTGACGGTTTTAATACTATGCAAATGAAGCAGTCGATTTTGAGACCTTATTACGAATGGATAGCATTTCTTACAACTTGTGCATGTTCCATCGTATGAAATTCACATATTTTACAGTCGAGAGCATTTTTCAAATTTATATGTATTATAGGTATTTGAAATTTATCCCCAAATCATGGATTGCACATTTTTCTGAATATATATACACACGTATGCTTTTTGTCAAAAAAAAAAGAAAAGAAACTGTTTTGCTTATCGTGTATATATTTTCGCTCATTCAAAAGAAGAGTGATCAAAAAACGAAACCAGTTTCATGTGATACCATTTTTTATTCACTCATTGGAAAAGCGATTTTACATGCATAGATAGTAAAAAAAAGAATCTTTTACTTTGAGAGGAAATTATAACATGTATTTCACTTCAAAGGGAAAATATATATTTCAAATTGTATAATGGAATTAATGAAAAAGCAAAACTAGCGTAAAATGTGAATGAATTTTTTTTAATGCTTATACTATAGCATTCTATTTCTGATTTTATATGAATTTTTTTAAACTTTCAAAAGACTAAATAGAATTAAACGTAAAAAAAAGAAAATGTAATTGAAAGAACAGGAAATGTCAAAAATAGAAAGTTTATTTCATTATTTGTCAAAAACTCTTAATTATCAATTAATATACGTATAAGGAAGTAATTTGTCTCCCCCATATAATTAAAATTAATTCGTTAATATAGTTTACTATTTCGATAATTTCATAAAAAATGATAGACATCAGTTACCATTAGACTCAAAATAATTCAAGAGGAATTGTTAGACAATTTTTGTCAGTCAAAGAAGTTGCTTGTGAACAATGAAGTTTATTAGAATATATTTTTTATGTTTTACTTTGTGGATGAAAATTTTAGCAGTACATTCAACAATCAGTCTAGAAAAACCTCCTGTAACAAATTACTTTGATGGACTTGTAAATTATTTGAAAAATAAACCTAAATTGCATCAAGTTGTGTTTATTCTTGACGATAAATTTAACAATGCGGACTCAATGATGAATTCTCTGATAAAAACTGTCGATACACACTTTCCGTCATTCACCCTCAACTATGATGAAATTCTAGTTTGGTTTAACAGGTATCGTATGAATACGTATCTAAAATATGTTAAATTCTGCGACAAAAATTTATGAATAAAAACAATTACAAATTAAAATAAATATATGGAATACAACAGGTTGGTCATTAGTGCCAATGATCTTTTTTTAAATTTAATTGGATTATTATGAAATTTGTATTTAAGGGCGTCAATTGAACTCTTTGGTTTAGAGTCAGGTGTTCGAGTCCTCACAGATGCACAGTGCAGTCGTTCACGCAGCTTATTTTTTCAGATCAAAAATTAAATTCAAAAATATAATTATTTACCGACAACCATATCGGAATAATTATCTTAAGAATAACACCTGACTCTAAACCAAAGAGTTCAATTGACGTCTAATAGATGTCACTAATTGCTGATATAGTCGAAATCTTCCTTAATTAAAATTCTTCATCAGCAAATAATTTCCTACATTGTATTTAAGGGCTTCCGAAATATATCAGTGATGTTCAGAATCTTTGCTCCCTCAATTAAAAGAAATCGATCTTTTTTTTAAATAAATTTTGTATTTTTTTTGTAATTCTTATTTGCAATTTAACTTCTAACAATTATTACAATTTTTTTTAAATATGAAGGAAATATTAAAAAAAGAAATGTTAAATCTAAATATTTATTTTCTTTATAGAGGCTCTACAAACAGCATCAAATCGCATTCAAATTACAGAAGAACAACATTGTTTGTTTTTGCAGCAAATAACGAAATTAGTATAGAATTAATTAGCAAATATCTGGATAGGATAAATTCTATGACACACTTATCGCTACCAAGATGTTTAATTATGAAGTCTTTTACTTCGACTCATAACTACCTAAATCATACTTTGTATTCATTTTGGCGAAAGAGTTATTTGGACATTACAATTATGACGTACAATCGACAAACTCATATTGAACCATTTTTGAGTCAGCTAAATCCTTTTCTAAACAACTACACTTCTGCGAGAATAACATCAAAAAGTCAATGGTTCCCTAATAAAGTACAGAATTTAAATGGATACAAAATGTTTTTTAATTTTTATACCATTTCTGGTACATTGAAAGAAAGACTGGAGACAAGAAAAAAAATTACTGAAATTTTTGAACGAAGCATGAACTTTAAGCATACAATGGAAGCTCCAGATGTATGTAAACTTCATTATTTAGGATTTCGTATACAGAAATATACTGATAATAATGTTGAATCTGCTTATAATTCTCGGAATTTACGTATTTTAAAAATTGGCAGCATTAAAACTGTAATTCCAAAAACGAAAAAATTTACAAAAGTTTTAACTTTTTCACCAGAACTTTTATACATGATTTGTGGAACTGTTGGCATAATTGTCGTCATTCGACTCTCAGCATTCTTGATGAAATTCAACAGGACTACATTGCAAATTTTGAACATAAGTCAAATTATAATGGGAATGCCTTCAAATCAACAACCAAATTATTTATTAGAGAGAATTGTATTCGGTTCTTTATTAATTGCGTGTATTTTTTATACAGGATATTTTTATTCAGTAATTTTGGACATTAGTTTTCAACCGGAAGAGGAAATTTCAAGTTTAGATGAATTGGCTAATTCGTCTTTGATACCGTTTATAAATGACGGATTTTGCTTGCGCTTGAAAAATAGTTCTATTCCTGTTATTAAGAAATTGGGGGATATGTGTCTGAAGTCAACATTTAAAACAGCATTGATTAAAAATTATTATTGTTTAGATTACTTAGTTGAGCATAATAATGTGAGTTGTATGTATGCTGATGCTGAATATCATGTAAATACGTATTCAGCTAAAAAAGAAAAGGAGTTAAATGTTAAAATTTTGCCAGAAGTTGTTGACTATTATACTTTTCATTGGGTGGTTGCTAACAATTCACCATTCACTGATCGTTATAATGAAATAATTTTGAGAGCTTCAGAGTTTGGATTGTTTAATAATTTTTATATATCAAATCTAGTGGCTTACAGAACTCGTTCGTCGGAAAAAATTAACAAAGAACAAATTTTTTTTATAACATATTATGTCTTGGGTTTGGGATTCTGTATTTCTCTAATTATTTTTCTTATTGAAATACTTATAAATAAATTCAAATTTAGATTGAGATAGTATTAATGTTAAGAAGTGTCAAGCTCACTTGAGTACAGTTAGTACTACTTGGATATTCTGTAGATGCAATATTTAGTTTTAAGCTGTAGAACAAGTTTGTAAAGAGAAAATTTTACGGTGAAAACATGTATAGCTAGTAAGACATAAGACGAGTTTATAAATAAAAATTATTAGTTTGTCAAGAGTCTTCAATAATTTGTTATCCTAATATTTAATTAAATGGGTCAATAAAATTGTTTGCTTATTGACAAACCGCTCAGGCACAAATTTTATTAATGAAATAAACATCAGGTAATACTTAAATTAAATTATTTAGAACTATATTTGACAGTATGCATAAGGACAGTATTTTATGACGCTGAAAATTACTGGATTATGCCCTGAAAAAATGATTATTATGCGAAATTATGCGTTGAAAAATTAAAAAGTGCGAATTGATGTTTTTGAAAGAAAAACGTTATTAGGACCAAAATAAAGCTTCTAACATTAGGTTAATTAAAAGTTGCATTTTAAACTAATATAGGGGAGAGTGGGGCAAAATGGGGTAGGCGGGTCAAATGGGGTACCTCTGTTTTTCCATGATAGGTACTTTTAATTTTTTTAACCTCGACATATATCATTCATGTTGATAAGAAACTGTTATTAATTATGAAGACACCCGAAAGAAAATTTTTTTTTGAAAGTTATACAACTTTTAAGTTTTAAGCAAAAAAAATATGAATTTTTTTCAAAATTAAAAGGGCTTACCAAACTTTTTGGGTTAATGCATTTAATTTGGCAAGTGTGGGATCTTTTTCAGTACTTATTCTAGAGTAATTTCCAGTAGAATAGATTGTTTCATTGTTTACAATAACTTGTAAACATTGCATTTTGTTTTAATATGCAGTGTGGGGCAGAATGGGGTACCTAAGTGTGGGGCATGCCGGAAGCTACGCCGTTCCATTAAAACTATTTAAAAACATTATATTATGCATATTTAAAGGTTTCCTGCAAAAGAATCGATATTTTTGCTTCGAGGCATTTATACTATCGATGTTTCATTATCGATATATCGATATTTTGCAAAAATCCATGTTTTTTTGTTAAATTCTAATAAATATTACTCGTTTTTTCATAGTAATAAAATATCCTACTTTTTGTTCATATTTATAATCTCATACAACAAGAATTTAATGAATTTTGAAAAAATATTCAATGTTTTGTACAGTTATTTGATGCCACCCCATTTTGCCCCACGGGTTAGGCAAAATGGGATTTTAGCACTTTTTTAGAAAATACGATATAAGTTCTTTCAAAAATTTTTTTCTCCGCTATTGTCATAATTTCCTCAAAGCCAAGTGTACAAAGAAGAATTCTGAAGTTTAGCTGAATCGATTTATTCGTTTGGTTCTCTGTAAACAGCCAATTTCAAAAAGGTACCCCATTTTGCCCCACTCTCCCCTATAGCTAGAATAATATAATATACATATATTAGATTAAATAAATAATAATAAAATAAGTTGTAGGGTACAAAAATTGATCATTTGCATGAATTTTTTTAAGAAAAACCACCAACATTTTTAAATAAAGCAACTTATTCTCTATATTCATAAGAAGTAATAAAAAAATTCTTTTTTTTTATTTATTTAGATGTATAAACGGGCGATAAACCCTTTACAAAGTATAAAGATGAGGACAAAAACTTGTCGTTTTTAAACATTTTTATAATTATAACCTAATAAATTTAATATCTCAGTATTTTTTTGCGCAAAGTAGCAATAAACCGATTTAAATTAGAATCAAAAAAGTTCAGGCAATCGCTATAAAAGTTACCTTCCCTACATATTCTATTTATGGTACTGTTATTCCCATAGTTTGTTCTATGAAAATCGACATAAAATGTAGACATTTGTCATTTTATGTTGTCATTTTGTTGTCATTTTTTGACAAAATGACAACCCCTGAAATTTAACGTATCAATTTTTTTTCTAAAAAAAACTGTGAGTTCTTAGCTGTAAAAAGATATTTTTGCAGAACTTCCACTAAACTTTGCAAGTAAATAATTCCAAGTTTGCAAATAAATTTTTAGTAAATATTTAGGAAATTCTCGGTGTTGTGTGGGTAAACTTAGAAAAAATACAAGAAAAAAAAACCCCATTTTTTGAAAATTACAACTAGGGTTGCCCTTTTAATTATGGATGATTAATTTTATTCATAACTTTATGATAAAATGTATTTATAAATAGATATTTCGTTAATTCAGATTTAGACTGTGGAATATTTTTATATTTCTTGCACAAAAAATAAAATTATGCGCAATTATGCGAGAATTCAAAAATTTTTCGATGAAAAAAAATTATGCGTTTTGATGCGACGTTAAATTTATTTTATTTTATTCATAAACATGATAAAACGTAAAACTTTAAACTTTCTTTCAATTTTTAAAAATTATCCGATTATGCGCTTCACACAAAGTGTAGGTCTCTAAGTATGCATTTCACGTCCCTTATATTAACGCTTTCTAGAATAATAAATATGTAAACTTAAAACTCGTATTAATAAATACAGTTTAACTTTAGAATTGTCAAATACTACTTATCAAGTAAACTTAACAATTGTAAACAATGAAGTTTCTTGGAATATATTTTTTAAATTTTCGACGCTATATAAAATATGAACCGACAGATTAGCTCAGTCGGATAGATGCCTCGCTTGGCGGTCGTTTAAGGACCAAGGTAAGCACCCTTGGTTCGCGCCCATTTGGCTTGGTATTTTTCCGGCACGTGAGACAATCTGAGCGGGAGGTTTGACGTCGAGGTATAATGATGTGCACCGTCGATTATTATCCGGTGCACACCATTAGAACTCGACTGTCGATAAACCGGTTGTACTCGGAGAGGTTTTCTACAGTTTCCCTCTCCACTCGCGAGAAAACCCATTAGACGGGTGGTCCAGGCAAATGCGAGTAAACCTAATTTTCAAGTCGTTCTGTAGGCGCAAAAAAATTAGAATAAGCATGTATAAGAAAATGTAGTATGTAAGAAAATTTCCTCGAGGACACTTGTATATGATACTCTATTTTCTTTATTGTTTTTCTACTTGAAATATTGGGCATATGATACTCTATTTTCTTTATTGTTTTTCTACTTGAAATATTCATATCAATGTTAGATTATAAATTGTATATATTTTACACCAGATTTAAAATAATATGTTAATGAAATATTTCTTGTTTTTAAACATCAACTGGCAGTTAATTTTACAGAATAACGAATTATACAAAGTTCAGTTTGAAAAAAGAACTAAATGTATGATGAAAGCTTTCAAATATTATTTTTAAATCGTAGAGTACAACCAGAAGAATTAGTAGATTATAATTGACTAGCATCTAGATATGAGATTTTTTGAAAAACAAAAAAATTTCGACTTTTAAGCAACACAGTAATAATTTAATATATACATTTATATAAATCATAATGATTATTTATGAAAATGAATGTATTGAAAATTGAATAAATAAGGAATTATAAAAATCATTAAATTCTTCATTTTCGAAACTTGACGAATTTTTGATGACCCTAAGTTTTTTTTCAGAAAATTCAGACAAATACAATTAAAATAAAATACAAATACTAAAGACAACATGTTTATTTGAGTGACATAAATGTGCTAACTCATAAATTGAAATACTTATAATTGTATTTACGTTCGGTTATTGTAAACAAAGTCCTAAAAAATAATAAAGGAATAAACAAACTACTAGCGTTAATAAACAAAATTTGGTTTCAATAATTTTAAAACATTTTTGTCGGTTCTACAAAGAGCTTGTAAATTATGAAGTTTTTTAGAATGTTTTTTATAAACTGCGTTTTGTGGAAGGAAATTCTTGTAATATGTTCAATAATAAGTCTAGAAAAGCCAGCAACAACAAATTACTTTGATGGGCTAGTGAATTATCTTAAAAACGAATCTAAACTGTATCAAGTTATGTTTATTTTTGACCATCATTTTGACAATTTGGATCCAATGATGAGTTCTCTAACAAAAGAAGTCAATAAGCATTTTCCGTCCGTGAGCCTCAACTACAATGAAATTCGACACTGGTTTCAAAGGTACTGTATTAGTAATAAAACCGTATATTTTTGGGACACGTGTTCATACTTTAAATAAAGAAGGTTTATACTAAAAATTTTGATAAACAATACAATATTTATTCCCTTTATAGATTCTTTACAAGAAGCTTTAAAAGACATACATATTTTAAAAGAACGACTTTGTTTGTTTTTGAGGCAAAGAACAAAAGAATATTGGACCGAATTATTAAATATCTGGATATGATAAATTACAGAACACAGTTGTCATTACCAAGATGTTTAATTATGAAATTTTTTAATTCTACTAACGAGTATCTTAACACTACCTTGTATTCTTTTTGGCGAAAGAGTTATTTGGACATTACAATCATGACTTATGATTTGGAAGAACAGATGCCTTTCTTGAGTCAGGTAAATCCATTTTCAAAAAATTACACTACTCACAATATTTCATCTGTAATTCAATGGTTTCCAAATAAGCTACGTGATTTAAATGGATATAATATGGATATGAATTTATTTGCTGAATATGGCGATGAAAAATCAAAAATTGGGATGGAGAAAAAAATTATAAAAGTTTTTGAACAAACGATGAATTTTAAACATAGAGTGGGAATACTAGATACATGTATAAAACATAGGCTGATATACATCCAGCAACAATATATTGGAAGTAATCGAGAAATATTATATGCTCTTTGGGCTGTTCGATTTCAAAAAATTGACAGCATTAAAGCTGTTATTCCAAAAATGAAAAAGTTTACAAAAGGTTTTGTTTTCTCATCTGAACTTTTTTACATGATTTTGGGATCTATCGGTATGATTGTTATCATTTTGGTCACTGCCTTCTTTATGAAATTTAACAGAACTGTATGGCAGACGTGGAATATCAGTCAAATGATAATTGGAATGCCTTCAAATCAAGAACCGAATAATTGTATAGAAAGATTTGTATTCGGTTCTTTATTGATTGCATGCATTGTATATACAGAATATTTTTATTCTGTAATTTTGGACATCAATCTACAATTGGAACAGGAAATTTCAACTTTAAAAGAATTGGCTAATTCGTCATTGACGTCGTTCGCAAGTAGTCAACTTTGTTTTCGTTTAAATCGTAGTTCCATTTTTCATTTTAAAAAACTTGGAAGTAAGTGTCTTGAATTTAGAAAGTTAGTGAGGGAAATTGATTGTTTAGAATACTTAGCTAAGAATAGAAATGTGACTTGTATGTTTGCTGATGCTGAATATCAAGTTTATTTTTATGTTAATGGGGACGAGTTAAATGTGAAGATATTACCAGAAGCTGTTGATTATTATTGTTCTGTTTGGTCTGCAGATGGTAACTCACCGTATATTGATCGTTACAATGAAATTATTCTAAGAGCCTCTGAATTTGGGTTGTTTAAGGAATATTCTGCATCTAGTGTTGTACATCAAAAAATTTCGCCACCAGAGGAAATTAAAGAGGCGAAACTTTTGTTTATTGCATCCTACGTATTTGCTATTGGATACTCTATTTCTATAATTGTCTTTCTACTTGAAAAATTTAAAAGAAATATTGAACAGAGGAATTCGTCATTTATACAGGAGTGTTAGATTATCGAATTAAAGAAAAATAAGGAGACTAGATTCTTTCCACTTCTACTTAACTCGAAGTAGACATTGCGGTTGGGAAAGACAGCCCGAGCGCATTTGCTGTTATTGTACGCGTAGGCTCAATTTGTCTTTCGCATAATTGTTTATTTTGCTCACTTTATTCTTTAGTATACCTATTTGTAATTTTATTTCATTTAATCGTCAAAAACAGTTTTTATCAGTGAAAACTGTATCGAATAATGTAATAATTTGCTTATAGTTTAATAAAATAATTTCTACTACAAAATTGATGACTAACTTTTGATTCCATAGGAACCTAGTAATGGTATGTCTTCCTCAAATTGTTTGTTTTTGTCTATATGTATACTATTACTATTTAATACTCAATTGTAAAAAACTGTATGTAATGAAAATAAATAAAATAATAATAAAAAGTGATTGTTTAAAATTTATTGATTTTAATTCATGGCACGTACCTGCCACGATTTACCAGTCGCGACGTCGTATGTAGGAGGAGGTGACGTCATTGAGGGAAGGACGTATACGGGTTGTGGCCTATTCTGTGCATTTTGCTGACTTCCGGCGTTTCCGTTTGCGCTGGCGTTCGGTGGGTCTTCAATGGTAGCGTAGAGAGCTTCCGGAATGGCGTTTTCTCGTATACTGCCTCCGAATATGCTCGAACCGGAGTCTGCAAAAATCATAATGAGTCGATTTTAAAATTATTCCCTCTAGAGTTAAAATACAAAAACCCATCAGAATGCATCTCTTTTATGCTTCAAACTGACAACATTATTTCACCCATGAAAAAGTCGATGTCGATATATTCCGGAAGGATTATATAGGGATTCTCTTTTTCCGAATTATTTACTTTTCGTTTGGTCGGGTACACTTTTATTGGATACATTCCAACAATAATAAAAAGAAATAAAGTAAATACTTCAATTGATAAATACCTCTCTCGACTTTAGTGACACCAATTAAATTGTTTATTAAAACAACAAAAAACTATATCTTTCAATAATTTAACTAAATTCTCCTCTCAAATTTAATTAATTAATATTAATTTCAAGGAAAAAATTTTTAACATCACAACCTGAAAATTTGAAGAAAATAAAAAAATGTTATTTTGTTTGGCATAAAGAGTTAGCATATATACGATTTAAAGCAATATTTCAATGTCAATAATTTGAATGACAGTATTATTGAAGAGAAATGCATACAATCAGCATTTGCTACTATTGTAGTTACATACAGTTTCATTGCTCTTCTATCCAACTTCATTGTACACAACTCGACAATATTTTCTTTGAATTCAATTAATAATTGAAATGAAATTATCATTTCTTGCAGAAGGCAACAAAAATATAATAGAAATCGATAGTACGTGACAGCTATAAGAAATAATAAGAAGTGTATTTTTTAAAAAAACAAATAAATATTTTTTTCCTCAATATACATATGTCATATACTCTCAAAATAATTTTACAATTTACAAGGCTAGAAGCTTTTGAAATGTACTCGGAAAATGTTGTTTCCGTCCAAAATAATGTTAAATATTTTAAAATCTACTTAACCCAGTTTCTAGTTTCTGAGAATCCTTTCAAAGTTTCTGAAAACTTTTTGAAATCGTTTGATATTCGTGTACCGAAATAATATTTCTCGCATATTTGATTTTTATTCCATAATTATTATCTAATTAATATTATAATAATTTAAATTTTGCTAATATTTGCTGAGAAAATTTTTCAATTATTATTGGTATTCACTAGTGATGCATTACGAGCGAATATCGTCTCGTGAGAACGAGAATCTCGCGAAAAATACAATGAAAACAATTGAATGTTATAGTTTCATCTCTTTCCTTTTATGAAAGGACAGAGTCTCGTTATGCATCACTAGTATTCACGAATATAAATAAATTTGAATTAAAGTTAGTTTTATGTTATTTTTGCAATTGTGGAGTTTGTTTTATATTTCAATGACAATGGTACAATACAATTTTTTTTCAAAGAATCAATAGTAATTGAACCACCGGATCGTAGAAGGGCATATAGCCAATGTAATTCAAATGGGCTATATGCCCTTATACGATCCGGCGGTTCAATTAATGAACTATTAAAAATGTTTGTAGAAATGTCGCTAATTTAAAGATACACAATAATTTGTGTTTATTACATTTAAAACCTTGCAATTCAAGTCAAGAAGGTCAACCTTTGTTTCTTGTGCTCATACTTAAACATAGCTCTCGAGTGTAAACAGAAATACTCTTTAGAAATATTTGAGATTGAAATATCTGTATATAATTTTTAATATTACATTTCAAATCAGCTAGGTTATTTTCGTAATTTATAAATCAATAAACGGTGAATGAAATATTTGAAATTTAATTTAAATCCTTCATGACATTTCAAATTTCAAAGTAAATAAATTTTAGTTATTATAAATTTGCTAAAGAATAATTTAACGTAATTATAGAAAATAATTTTAACTGCAATATATTTTGTTTAAATATTAAATTATTATATCAAAATTACTGTTGCTTCGAATTCTCAGAGCATGAATGAAAGTAAGAGTGAAAGAAAATATGTTACCTTTCACCCTCTTTTACCTCAAGTCTCTTTTCCCTATTGATATACGTCAATCAGGCTGGAGTCCCATGGCAGCGTTTTGCGTTGCGTTTTCACTGCAAAAACAAGTGTCTTATTTTGAGACGTTTTGTCCCATATTTGAAACACATAAGATGTCTTAGTCCACATATTTGAAACGGATATGTGTCTCATTTTAAGACGTTTCAAAGTGTCTTACACATTTAGCAATGCATTTTGAGACACGAAATGTGTTTCGAGTATCCGTTTCACACTAAGAAGACGTTTTACGTGTCTTATACGCATTGAGTTACCTTTAATGTCTTAAAATGAGACACGAGATGAAATTAAATGTCTCAATATAAAACAGATTTTGTATCTCAATGGTTTAAACACTTAAAGCAACTCATTTTAAGACAAGAGTGAGATACCAGTTTTTGCAGTGTTGTAACTAGGCCATGAGTGCAAATATAGCGAACGTATATCTCCATCTCTCTCACACGCATGGCCTAGTTACAAAACGCAACGCAAAACGCTGCCATGGGACTTCACCCTCAGTTGTTTCTATCACCCTCGAGAACAAGGGGCCAATGAACAAAACTAACACACTATCACTTCCGTATGAACAGCGCAGGTCAGAAAAATTTGTTCACATTTTTTCTCAGCCACGTGTTTCTAATTTCATTTTCAAATTTTAATTTCTACAAGTGAATGTAAATTTCAAAAGTGCTTAAACTTTTCAAACATTTCTATCGATTTTTATTTTAAAGAAATTAAGTTAAATACTAAAAGAATTTAAAAAATTAATTTAAAATAAAAGAAATTTAAAACAAGTACATTAGTGTAATATTTTTTAAAATTGTTTTTCTCGAGTTAATACGGGAGTGATGAAAATATTTTTAAATCGCGAGTGACTATTTTTGAAGGGAAAAAATTATAATATACGAGTTCAGAATTTAAATATCCACAGTCACTAGTCTCTGTAAGTTTATAATTTTTTTTTTATAATCCGTAGTAAAACTACTAGCTTATTTCTTCTGTTTCAATGTGTTCAAAAACGAACTATGTACAAAAATGAATTTAATTTTTTTGTATTTAACAATAAGGCTATGAGTACGTAATGAACGATACAAAAATTAGAAGTGTGTAGAGTGAGTGGGGAATCTTTCGATATTATCAGAAAGAATTTTTTGATCAAACAAAATTATTATTAATTTTTTTGCTAAAAAGTTAGCTAAGGAGATACAATTTCAGGGCATATATTATTAATTATGTTATATAAAACCAATTAGGAATTACATTCGTTCAAAAGATGGGTGGCCACCTTGGGGCCCCTTACCCTACATTATATTTTTAGAAAAAACACTTTAGAAAAAACCCTCGATTTAACCAGACTCCCCCCTTAAAGTACTGGAAAAAATTGAATTTTGGAGAAGTGACAAATGATTGCAAAACTTCAATTATCTTCAAAAATTTTAAAAATTCCTAGAAAAAAGTTCAATTATCTTTAAAAATAATAAAATTCTTCTGCAAAATTCAATTATTTTCAAAATTTTTCCTCAATTCAATTATTTTCAATATCCACTATTTTAATAAATTTTTTCAAAAAATTCAATTATTTAAAACAAATGTTAATAAAATTCTAAGAAAAAAATTAAATCATTTTCATAAATAATAAAAATTTCACAGGAATTTAACTATTTACAAATTTTTTATAAATTTCTTCGCAATAGTTCAATTATTTTCATAAATAATACAATTTTTTACAGAGATTCAATTATTTTCATGAATAATAATACTCATCATAAATTCGTCCTATGAAGAATTTTATTATTTATGAAAATAATTGAATTCTTGCAACGAATTTTATTACATTTTTATTAAATAATTGAAGGCTTCCGTTTCCGGTACCGTTTCGGTGTACACGCGTTCATGAAGGGTTAATAGTTTTTGTTGAGTTTTTTTTAAGAATTAAAAAGGGGTGATTAGTGTAGTGTGCTGTGCGAGAGCGGGAATTTGTGGTAGGGTAAGAAAAAGGTATGTTTGCGTAGAGTAGTGTGAGTGTGTGTGATAAAAAAGATAAAAAAGAGAAGTCGGTATTGTGAGGTTAGGTAGTGTAAAGTGAGTGAGAAGAGAGAGAGATAGAGCAGAAGTAGTAGTGAATTGCGCGTGGATAAGTTAGGTTTCTAGTATGTCTGATATTGAATCTGACTTGAGTAGTAGCAGTAGTGAATATGGAAGTGAGCGAAGTGAGTCGAGTGAGAGTGAGGCGCCAAAATTTGAAAGGGGAATTGGTAAGAATGGAAAAAGAATGACGTGCGAAGATTGTATGGATTTGTTAGAGTTATTTCAAAAGTGGAGTGGATCATTGGACAAACAATTTAAGGTTATAGGAAAAAAGGTGAAACGTGTGAATAAAAAAGCGGATGAAAGGGACAGAGAGATTGAGAAAATTAGTAAGAGTTTGGAAAGCATGCAGAGAATGTGGGAAAAGTGTGAGATAGAGTGGATAAAAGAAAAGGAAGATTTGTGGAGGAAATTGTATGAATTGGAAGAACGTTTAATAGAAAATGAAGGGAAGGTGTAGGGGGGTGAGAATGTGTGTATGCAGGTGAAAATGGAGGAATTGTCGAGACGAGTGGATGGTATGGAAAGAGAGAAAAGAAAAAATAACGTTGTGATTAGGGGTATGAATGTAATTGCAACGGAGGGTAAAGGAGAGGTGGAAAAAGTGTTTGCGTGGGTGGGGGTTAGTGTAAGTGTAAAAATGGTAAAAGCGATAAGAATGGGCGAGAATGGTGTACCGAAATTGTGGTTGGTGGAGTTAGGTAATGAGGAGGAGAAAAAGGAAGTGATGAGAATGAAAATTAAGTTGAAAGGAAGTGTGATAAGAATTGATGAGGACCGAACGTGGAGAGAAAGAAGAATTATATGGCTGTTGAGAGAGAAAGCATGGAATGAAAGAAAGAATGGAAGAGTAGTACGAATGGGTAAAGAATGTATTTGGATAGATGAGATAAAACATTGTGTGAGGGAAGATACTGGGAAAGTGGTTAAGGTTAGGGCAAATGATAGTGAATGATAGTAGAAAATGTGAAGAAGAGAATTGAGAGAGAAACTGAGAAGGTTGGAAGGACAGCGATGGAATAGAGAAAATGTGGATAGAATGAGGAGTGTGTATGAGTGAATAGAATTAGTTTGGATGGTAAAAATTTTAAGGTTAAGAAAAAGCGAAAAAGGGGTGGGCGAAATGGGAGTATAGCTAGGAAAGGCAATTGGAACTGGAAACGGAAGCCCTGGCACTGGCGATTGTTGATAGGTTAGGGTATTTTTTGTATAAGTAGTTGAATAAGGAAGCGTATAGGTTAAGTGTTTTTTGTAATTAGATATAAGATGATTATGTATTTAATTTGTAAGAAAATTGTATTTGGATCCTCGAACCCTGCTTCATGCTGGGAGACTAATAAATTAATAATTAATAATATTAAATAATTGAATTCGTTTGAGAAATTTTATTAAAATAGATTTTTAAAATATTTGAATTTCAGCGAAGAATTTCATTATGTGTGAAATGTTATTGAATTATTGCAAAAATTTTTTGAAAATAATTACATTTTTCGAGGAATTTATTTAAAATTGTATTAAAAATATTTTTTCCCCTATGGAATAATAATAATAATTAAATATTTATTTAAAAATGAATTTATTTATGTTTTCCAATAATAATTTTATAATTAAACAAATTTGTTAATAAATGTAATAGAACATTTTTTTGAGTATGCAATCGCTTTTGAGTGAATCAGCATATTCTTTAGGGTCAGAGAAAAAGTCAAAATTTTGTTTGGAAATCAGGGAAAAACAAAATTAATTTTTTGTGGCAACCCTGTAAAAATTCGTGAAGAAACATCGAAATTTCGAGCGTCACACCGGGCTGCTACCTTAATGAAAGGAAAGATTCTCGAATAAAACAGTAATAAAAAATATTTCTTTTTATTCATCACAAATTTCTGTGACATTTAATTGAAAATCCTTTTCTCTTTTTAGTTTCCAAAAATTTTTTCCCCCTAGCTTTTATCTAGAGAATTGTTCCTGTAATCTCTGTAAAAATAAAAGAGCCGACTAAATCGAAATGGTATCACAATGAAAGTAATGTTACGATCTAATTTCGTTTCCTGTATATATAGTATGGTTTTCTGAAAGTCATTAGAGTGATAAATAACCATGGAATTACAGTTCCCAAGCGGGTCTCGGGATAGTACGATTTATGTTTTGGTAAAAAGTTTTTGAAGATTCTCCTCAGTTGTTTCTCAAGAATGAGAGACTTGAGAAAGACGTTTACGTTTGTTTTATAGTTGAAAAGTAAAATTCTTAATGGGAATTTAATTCTGACAAAGTGAGAAGTAAACTTACCAATGTAGGTATAATGTGATTCGACTCTTTCTGCACTTCGGGTCCTCCTTGAAGGATTCAATCGTTTTTCGTGTTTATGTATGTTTTTGGCAGGTCTCGTTTGTTCAGCAACTGAACTAGTACTTCCGGTATCCGACGCCCTCGATATTGGACCTCGTCCTCCACCACCACCGCCTCCTTCCTCTGTTTGTTTCTTTGAAGATTTTCCCTCGCCCTTTGAGCCTTTTGATGGCTTTGGATTTAAAATCGTTAAACTACTTGCCGTCATTCCGTTTCGAGATTTCGGCAAATCCAAAACCACTCCGCATCCACAAACTGCTGTGTTGTCGTTAGGCATTCTGGAAAGGAAACAAAAAGTTTTATTAACTGGCGAAATATTTGCAATAGCAAACTAAGAAATGGCAAGAATTTATAATCCAAGGATCGAAATTAAAATGAACCATAAAATTAAGTATCATGTTAATACTAAATTATTTTTTAATGAACAATGTTAAATTTGTTTCTATTGTCAGGAAGATGTTCAATTTTACAAGTACTTTGTCTAAAATAGAGATAGTTAACTTTTCGTGTGTTGATTTCTTATACTAAGCTTTCATTTATCACGAAATTAAAAATAGTTTAAAACTCCCAAGTTTAATTTTCATCCTATCATAACTGGGAATTAAGAGATGAAGAGGGTTTCAAATTCTTAATGACTCAAAGAAGACTTATTAATTAAAATAGTAATATTGTCTTGGAGATAGGATGAGCTTGATTTAGAATATAAATTAAAATTTCCTTCAAACTACAACAACTTTTCCCCAAATGAAATGTAATTTTATTTTGACTTTCAATTGAAAACAGTTGATATTATTACAACTTTCTGTATTTGCACTTTTAACTTTTATAATTCTTTTGAAATGAAAATATTAATTATAAAAGTGAACAAATAAGTTTTCCAATGGAATTACTTTAAAAATTGTGTTTCTTAAACTTTATCTCAACTACTGTGATTACTTTCATTCTTCCCCTCCTGAAAAGAAATAAAAAATTTGAGAGAGAGAAAGAGAGAGTTTACTTTTGAGAAAGTCCTGAAGAATTTATGATAATAATCAAAATGAAGTCTACTGTAGGTTAGACTTCTTTTACTTAGGAATTCTTAGCTTTAATAATTTCTTAAACTTTTGTTCAAGAATAATGATCTTTCTGCGCAAGAAGAAAGGAATTCGTATATACTTATAAAAAAAAGAGGAGTAGAAAAGAAAATTTCGAGTAAAATCCTTCCTCTTGACATTTTTAACCGGTTAATAATTGAGGAACGTAATAATCCTTTCCTTACACAGTTTCCAGAATTCTTTATTAATGTTAATAATTTGAATGAGGGGAAATGGAGTTTTGAATTTCATTTATATTGAAATAATCCATCCATTGCTGATTAAACGCTTCTATTATCTACAGACGGAAGAAAACTGTTAATTAGTGAATCCGCATTGAATAATATAATTCAAGTATTATATTCTTGAAACTAAAATTGAACAAAATTGAAAGTTATTAATTTTTAATTATATGAATGTTTCAATTTTTGGTTCATTAATTAGTAAAGTACATTTATAATGTATACGTGTTAATTAATAAACCTTTTACCTACTCCTCTTTCACTATTCCATTGATTAGTTAACTTCATATCGTCGAATTTCATAATTATCTCTAATTTTCTACAAATCTATGAAAAGCTTTTATAATCAAAAAAATAATTGAAAAACGTACCTACATAGTATGGAAATCAAAATTTAAAACTGAAAAAGGAATTATGTACCTACCATAGTCAAGACTTACATTTTAAAATTAAATTACAATTTATAAACATTAATCATAATGTCAAAAAATTACAATAATTATTTAAAAATTATGAATATTATTAATATTATGATTACAATCTTAAATTTAGTTATTCCTTTCTAAAAGTGTAAAATCAAAAGATTAATTTTATTTGTCAACGCACTTATATTCGCATTTAATTACAAAATCGTTACAGATAATGCCTCTCGATTCTCAAGAACCATCACGATTATTCACTAGATAATTGAATCTGTCAACGAGAGTTTCGAGGGTCTTCCCCTCCATTCGCTTCAGGGAATGAGGAGGAGAAATTTCCCTATTCTCGGAGCAACGCATATTATCCTTTCATCTCTTGGGCTCTCTTTCGCGGTATAGAAACGTTTATTGCACAAACTTTAAACTTCAGCGATCTGGAAATTCGTGCCAAAAAAATATATCAAAGATGAAAAAGAAAATTTTGCCAAAATTAAAATAAACAGAATGTGATACAAAATGATACTGTGAAATAATAGAGTAATCTTCAATGATTTAACAGAAAAAATACAGTATTTTTAGAATTAATTAAAGAAAAGTAGGTAGTCGTCAGTAATTAGATTAAACGTTAATTAATATTTGTCTATTTTTAGTGAATTTATTAAATAAAAGTTCGAGAAGAAATGTTTTTTAAAAATAGAATTTTATTTGAGAAGTGTTATTAATGAAAATCGCGTTAATAAGAAAATTCGAGGTTGATTTTCTCGGGATGTCTTGCAGAAATATACGCCATGGAAATCGCTACATGGAAATTGAATTACGTGCTCTGTGGCGAAATGAGCTCTTGATCCGGTACACAGTACGTATACCTCATGGGGGTTACAGGGGGTGGGCGGTTAGGTTCGACGAAGTTGTTAGGTAACCTCGACATTATTCAACTTCCGCGACCCAATTTCCTCGACGAGATTCAAAGCTTTTCTAAATTTCATTGCCCATACATTTCTCTTTTCAACTCCTGTTCATCTACTATACCGTCATCGTCTACGCTGTGTGCTTAGATCTTACAATTAATGGCTAGGTGCACTTACAGCAACACCATTCATAATAAGCCTCTACATACAGTACTACGACATGTCTCGGAACTCAATTTTTACTATTTTTTGTAACAAACTCACACATTCTTACACGGAAAATCTTTGTTCAAGAAAGATTACAAAATTTCTTCAGAAAATGAAGATATGGAAAAAATTCTATGACTGTTTATAAATGTTTTGTTTAATAAATGAAACTTTTCTCTATTTTTACGAAACTGGAAATAAATCCTTTTTAATATTTTAGGAAAAGGTATAAATGAAATTTCAGAAATAATTTCGGAGAATGTTTGAAATAATTCTATATTTCTTTTAAAAGATTTAATAGTTCTTTATAATTCTTTTGAAAGCATTCAAATTTTTTGTCATGTAGGATTTCTATTTCTGCGTTTCTGAAAATTACAAAACTGGAATAGAATCGTTTGATGTGCAGTAAGCACTACGCAAGTACATCTGTGTGAGTGGTGATTAGGACCTTAGCCTAAACTGACATAACCGGCAAACGATAATGCTTGGTTAACGGATTATTTAAAAGTGCTAATAATGAATTGATTAAATTCATAGTATAATTCGTAAAAGTCATAATAATAGTTTTTTGAAAAATTAAATTTGAACATAAATATGTTCAGAATATTATTTTTTTATTGTTTCACTAGAGATCATGGAGCCGTTCCGAAATGAGGTAAAAAGTGTTAATTAGTTTATACTGTCAAGTTATTAGACCTATAAAATTTATGTATTAAAGTTAATGGTTCTTTTTTTTAAATTATTAAGTGTATATATACTATTTAAGAAAATAAAATTGTTTGTCACAAATTATTGAAAGAAAATCAAAGTGAAAAATCGAATCCCGAAACGTATTTCTTTTTGGTTATACAACAATTCGGTAATGTTACTTTCTGTCAAGGTCGGCCACTTTGTGTTTAAAATGCACAAAAATGAGGACGAGCTACTTTATTTGCAAAAACTGCAATTCTGTATAACTTATAATATAATTGATCATCTTATTAATATTTTCATTCGATTTTATTAATATTTCAGTGCACAATTTTTTTTTTATTTATATTTATTTTTTTATATTGTTTATTTTTATTATTTTGTTATTTCATTAAGTTACAAACTGTAAACAATGAAGAATCAATTTTCCGTAACTCCAAACATGTTATTTTATTTTTTAACAATTAATGCCCTTTGAGTTTTAAACATGGCCGACCTTGACTGCAAGGACCAACCTGGACTAAAAAATTTTTTTCTTTAAATCTTTATAACTTTTTCATTTTAAAACCAATCAATTTACTTTGTACAGAAAAGATGTTTCTATTAAACAGGACTTTCCAACCATATACTTCAATTATCCAAATTCATTTTTAAAAAAAAGTTATAAACAAAAGTCAAAAAGTGGGCCGACCTCGACTATGTTCCCCTACTATTTAAAATATTAAATAAAATTCATTTTGAAATAAATTCTTATTAAAAAAATTCTACGAGAATTCAATAATTCAAATAGAAATATGAATAATTTATTGAATAATTGAATGTTTCTTAAAATTCAATTTTTATAAAGAGTTTTATCTACTTTTTAATTAGTTGAATTCTTTTGAGGAATCCAATTAAAATTGTACTGAAAATAATTGAAATTCTGTAATGAGTTTTTATTATTTATGAAAATAATTGAATCCCTGTAAAAAATTTTATTATTTATAAAAATAACTGAATTGTTGCAAAAAAAATTTATAAAAAATTTGTAAATAATTGAATTCCTGTGGAAATTTTATTATTTATGATAATAATTAAATATTTACGTAGAATTTTCTTAAAATTTGTTTCAATAATTGAACTCTTTTCGAAAATTTTATTAAAAATAAATGAATATAAATATTAGACATTGAAAATCATTGAATTGAGATAATTTTTTGAAAATAATTGAAATTTTAACAAGAATTTTATTGAAATCTTTGAAAATAATTGAATTTCGAAAAATTTTATTATTAATAAAAATTCCGTTGCAGAAGGCTATATCGACGATTCAATAGCAAATAAAAACAAAACTGACAAGAAAATTGAATCAATGATTACTCAAAAGTCCAGCTGTAGTATTAGTCGTTCAGATGTTTCAGCTCCGAAAATAATTAAATTGACAAATGAAATCAGAGAAAATCAGCAAAGTATTTCGAATGAAAAAATTCAAATAGAGGAGAAAGGATTAACCTTCAATTTCGCCAATTGTTCGAACATTAACATAACTATTAACAAAACATAAAGAGCTTTTTTCCTTTTAATTATTAAAAATGTAACATTTTCTTATTAACGAATAAAAAATACAAATTGTGAAACATTATTAACTAAATATTGTTATAACCGCAAAAACCTCATAAATTAAAATCAAGATAAATAAAATATGTTTTGCAGTTGTTGGACAAAGTATCGTGTACAATTCGTGGAGAAAAACGATTTTCGCT